AACAATTAATTAAAGCGGCTGATGAAGGGCATATTAGTAATTTCGTATGCACTTTAACAGTTCTAGGATGGAAATATTGACAAAATAATAAATTTGTTACGTTATGAGGAGTATGAAATTGCAAAAACTTATTACACGTTTGGTCACTCAAATTATACAAATCTTTCACGTTTGCCATCCAAATTACCTTTCTTTCTTATTCGCCATTAGCTTTACGACTCGTTTTCACCATTAACACCGGCCGTTACACTCCGTTAAGTTTTTCCTACGTGGCAATCAACTATAAAGTTTGATTGTTAACTAAATGACGTGGAAATTAAAAAATTAAATATATTTTCCACCTCATCATCGCATTTACTTTATCTATATGATTTATGATATTAATTATTTAATAAAAAATAATTAAATTAAAAAATGAACGGCCTCCTCTTTCCTCTTCGTTGGTGCACTCGTACCCACCAGATCGACGCTCTTCTCCTCGTAGTTGTCACCTTCTTCCTCACTCGCCTCTTTCACTAGTCGTTCTCTCCCTGAACCGCCACTTCCTTCGGCGGCAGCGACTTCGGGAAGAGCCTCATCTGTATCTCCGACGCCTGATACCTGTAATGGCCTAACCGTGGCTATGGTTCAGTCCTCTCAAAGAGACTGAGATTAATGGCTTGAAAGAGCTGATGCGCAGTCGTGATGGAAAAATCTCCGTTGAAGCTTGCGTTAAAGGCCAATGGGGCACTCAAGTTTGTGTTAATTTTGTTCTTGAATTTCTTCCATGTTCGAATTCATCGTTCCTGTCATCTGTTTGATTAGAGCTTCGGTGAATCAGAGATTGAGTTGATTTTTGTGGATTGGATTGATTTTCTAGGTTGAGATATATAAATGGATGTTGAAATCAGGGTTTCGGACTAAGAGGAAAGAGGAAGCAATCGAACTCCTTCCCCACTCCTCCGATTCGTCTGCCATGGCTTTCGTCAGTGCCATCGAAATCCTTCCCCTCTCATCGAGCTTCTTCACTGACAATCGGAGCGTGGCCGTCCCTCCCGGCGTCGCTGCTGCTGGGTTCTTCGGGTTCCCATCCAGCGAACTCCTTCCCCACTCCTCATATTCGTCTACCGTGGCTTTCATCAGCGCCATCGAAATCCTTATCCTCTCATCCAGTTTCTTCGTCGACAATCGGAGCGCGGCGGTCTCTCCCGGCGCCGCTGCTGCTGGGTTCTTCGGGTTCCCATCCAGCGCTTTTCTCCACTTCTGGGTTCTTCTGTGGAACCGCTTCATGCGCAGTTCTTCCATAGATGCACAGTTGTTAAGGATGGCGTTCATACCTTTGGCGTCGAAGTTGCAAGATCCACAGGACAACTTCTTCAACGGCCTGCAGTTCTTGGCGAAGCTTCCATCCCGGCATCGATGATTTCCAGGTTGACCGGAGCTACCAGGACGACGAGCACAACTACTTCTACGCGCAACTCGATGGGCTGAACGTGCTCACCAATCTGAAATACGGCATCGACGGAGCCAGGCTGCGGTTCGAGAGCAAGGTGCAGAAGTCGGCGAACTATGAGATTTGGTATAGGATTTTTCAGCGGTGGACTTGTTCTTCTGTTTAAGTTATGCATCACGAACTAATTTAAAAGGCTATGGGGATGCAGGATAATTTCTGATCCTATTGCACTGGTTGATTATATAAATTTCTTCCTTCCACCAAAGATTGGATTGGATAAAGTCTGGTCTTGATCTGCTCCGGTTTTGAACCGGTCTGATCCTAATTTGGTCTTGATTTTAGATTGACCCTATGGGAAATTGAGTGGCCTGAGGGGGGAGTTGAGTGGCCTAAGGCCTGAAAGGGTGACGAGGTTAAATTTTGGGTGTTGGCCTCTCTTATCCGGTCTTTATACAGTTTTTGGTTCAGTCCCAAACGGTTTTTTACCTCAAATCTAGGCCCGAACATTGGATTGGATTGTTTGTTATCCGGTCCCGGTCCGGATTACACGGTCCGATCTCGGGTAAAACCAAAAAGTCCGGACCGAATAGCCAACCCTAGTAGTATGTACCAATAGTCTAATAGTAGTTTAATTTGTACTAGTATTTGAGGGTGGAAATCGGTACGGTATCGTATCCCAATATCAAATACCGAAATACCGAATGCCGAATTACCCCCTAAAATCAATCCCAATCCCAATCCCTATATAATTTCGGTATCCCAATCCCTAAATATTTCGGTATCCCAATCGGTACTTCGGTATCCCAATCGGTATTATCGAATACAAAATTAATTACCTTTGCAATTAATAATTAAATATATAAATGAGATTTTATTGTTTAATTTAGGGAGAAAAGACTAAGTAAAGAGTCTTGAATTAGGATATTATTAACGAGAATGGAGGAGAGGAGATATTTCAAGTTCTTGTCATTGTTAATCGTTAATTTGACGAATTGGAGGTAGAGAGACGACTATTTATAGTGATGAAATGATCTATATATAACTAAATGACACTCTTGGTGGTTGGGGGTCGTGTAGTAGTGAATGAGAGAGTCTAGTTGAGAGGATAAAATACGCACTAGCTTATATTTCGGTATTGATCGGTATTTCGGTATATACCGATCCCAATCTCGTAATCCCTAATACCGAATAACAATTGAAATTCAATCACAATCCCAGAAAATAATACGTGTATTCGGTAATACCAAATATAAACAAATTCGGTACAATATTCGGTATATCCCAAATAACGGTACCAAACTTCCAGCCTTGCTAGTATTGATTAAATTGTTATTGGTGATAAACCATCACCAATAACAATTTAATCAACAAAGGTTCAAACTCGATTTGATTTTCAATAAGTCCACAACTTTTTGTGTCACCTCCTTCAATGAATTAGAACTTCTCATTTTAAATTATTTGGTTAGACATAAATTAAAATCACATAAATAAATTAGTTTTGTGTCACCTTGCCTTTTTTTTTTTTTGACAAAAGGATCACTTATATTGCTCATCAAATGAAATTTGTTACATTAAGTGGATAACATCATGAGAAATGGAAACAAGAAAGAAAAACAACAAACATCCGCGGACCACACCAAGATAACGAGGAAAAGATCGGGACAATCAAAAGCAAAGCATGATCCAACCAGACAAAGACTTTCCTTTCAAGAGCGATAAAACAAAGCATCTTAACCACTCTTTGCTCCCTCATTCATCAGAAATGCTCAAAGAACAGCTTCAGCTCTTCCAATACAGGCTTGACCATGGCAATTGAACATTGCAACACCATATGCCGCCTCCTGGGAGTTGTTCGAAGACTACCCATCACAGTGAACCACCGAAGAGATTACATGGCGGTGGACAGGACTGTACCAGATTGCTCGGAGCTGAAACAAGGCAAGGGAGCCGGCAACAGAGGTAACTATGACAAAACAGAGTAAGCAAACACCAAGGGTTGAGAAGAGCCGTCAAAAACCACAAGAAAAGAAGACCACCAGCAAGAAGCCAAAAACCACAACCTGCAGAAACACAACACCAAAAAGACGACCCCAAAACCCAGAAAACAACAAACGAAGCAACACCCACACCATCACCAACCGCCCACAAACACAAAAACAAATCAACCCAAAGTAGAACCCTAAACTCAGAGAGTCATGAACCCACCGCCAAGACATTCGGAAGAGACAAAGCTGCCCACAACAGAAGATCGGCAAGGATGCAGAAAGCATGAAACAAAGACGACGTCTGAGGGGAAACGATGAACGCGATCACCACTGGGATGTTCACACCAAGAATGGAAGAGTCTTCACTTCAGAACCAGCTGAAACTCCCTAAAATGCATCTTCCGTACCCAGAACAGAGCGACCAGATTTGGTGAAACCAAATCAGAACACGACAGGACAACTCCACCAGGGAGGAATGTGGATGGAAACCACTTAAGAATCCGAGAGAAAGCCACCAAGGACAAGAAAAGCCATCATGGCAGGAAAATCAGATCAGATCTGCAGAAAGCCACTAAGCGCTTGAAGATCAGAAAAGGAACTGGAGGAGCCAGCGATGGACAGAGAACAAAGAAATCTCAAAGGAAGGCCGGAGGGAGAAAGAAAAGACGATTGCAAGAGGTAGGAACTTCTCATTTCTCCTTGACATGACTATCGGAGATTGGACCAGATTGGATGCAACGTAACCCGATTTTTGGTTACTCTAAAATTTATATATTAGTTGCATAAAAGATTACCACAAAATGTTGGTTGGAAATAATTTTTGTGACCAATAAAAATGAATTTTTTTGAACAATTGATTGGTTACATTATATACTTTCCAAACCAAAAATGATTGTGGTGACCATAAAATATAAGTTAGGATAAGAGTTTCACAACCAAAATTTTTGGTTACTTAAGGTTGATTACATTAGTTATAAAGAATAATTTGTAACCAAATTTTTTGGTTTTAAATAATGGTTTTTGTGACTTAATCATTTGGTTGGTAAAAGATATTTTAATTGATTAATTTTTATAATATTTGTGACCAATCAGGTACTTCTTCGTGACTTTTCCGAATGAGTTGTTATACCAATGAATTTGGTTGCAAAAATATTTATTTTGTGGCCAATTTGTCATTTCGTTACAAAATGGTTATATATTGGGACCAAATCAAAATTTTTGTCAGAATTGGTTTTCCTAACGGCGCGAATGTGACCAAGGGTTCAACCAAATTTGTTTAGTCACAACATAGGTTTTACGACCAAATTTGACATTTAGAGACCATTCACTTTCGTCACAAAAGGCAAATTTTGTTGTAGTGAAGTGAACTAGTTTAAACTTTAAACAATCTGATTTTGGATTTAGCCGAAAAACAGGAATGTATTGCCAGTCCTACATGAAAGTATCATGTGTTGTCCGATGAGAAAGCGAAGTTACTTTCTTTACTTTTATTAAGAGATATGAAATGGGATTATGGGAACATAAAAGTATCACCAAATTGAAGCAGAAGAAAAAAAAAGGCTGGTGGTACGAAATAAAATCAATTAATCATCAAGAGAAAGTCCGGTTCCTTGCAACTTGAATTGTGTGAGTTGGTCAATGCGCTCAGCCATCCGAGGAGTCAAGTAGTTCTTCCAGTCCCCCACGGTTCCTTTCCTGAAGAAGTGGGCATTTGGTACTCGGACTAGCTCCAGTACACCATTCTTGTTAACCTCCAACTCCTTGAGCCTACCCAAACTGCTACGCCACAACACTTTCTCCACCACCACCTCATCATCATCACCACCCGCCGTCGACGTCGAGGAAAACGACTTCCCCATAAACGAAGCGAGCTTCCTGACCTGCTCTTTGGGCTCCCTGCACAGATCCTCGTACTTGAGAAACAACACCTCCTCGGGTCGTCTCCGGCTCTCTTCCCAGTATCCCACCACGTGCTCGTAAAAAGGCCCGAAAGGCACAGCCCCGCTGCAGAAGCTTTCCACCGCTCGCTCCAGGGGGAACGACTCAGAACCACCACGGGTGAACAGCTTGTTGTAGAAATGCCACATCGACACCACCGTGTCCTTCGGGTTACGAGCCACGTACACGAACTTGCATCCGGACTCCCTCACCGCCTCTGGCAAGTAACTGTAAGGCAAATGAGTGTGGAGCAATCGAGGAGACGAACAACTGAGCAACATGCGTTGGATTTGGTCTTTGAGGAAAGTGTTTCCGAGGGTGGGAACCACTTCGTGTGGGTTCTTCTCTGCCAGAAGGTCTTCTCCTACTTCTTTGTCGAGGATGTTGTAGCAGACAGCCTTGAGCCAGGTGGTTCCGGTTTTGGTGAAGGATGTCAAGAGAATGTCGTCGTTTCTCGGCTCGAATCCTGACCTGAATGCGGCGGTGCCATCCATTGCCGCCACGAAATACCAGAAGCCTTCTATCTGTCCGATCTCGTGTGAGTTCCAAAACAACTCCGTTGGCATATTATTCATCTCAGTGATCAAAACAAGGCAATAAACACAACTGTACTACAATTTGACGAGGCAAAATACTGCTGTGCTTATTCCACAGCCCTATCAGCGCTATATAGTAACAAGGGGTCAACTTTAGTGGCGCATCAATGGGGCTTTAGGGGTGTCCCGGGATACCCCTAAAATTTGGGAACACGATTATTCAAATCCCGATAGTAGTTTGCATATAGGTAAAAAAAATATTTAAGTGGTAGCGGGACATTACTAAAATTTGGAAAAACGATTATAATCCCCTAATAGTAGTTTGTGTATGGGTAATATGAACATTTAAGTGGTTGCCTATGTGATTTGAACTTGGGTCGATGCTACTATTAGTAAACATATTTTTCATTAGACTATAACTCATTTGTTCTTGTATTTCAAATCCAAATATAATAGTAAAAAGCTATTTTTTATCCCAATTATTTTCAAAAGATTAAACCGAATTACGGCCTCCCCTAGTCTAGTAGGATATATCGAGAGAGATTTATAGAGCATTGTTAGACACCGATTGTATTTTACAATTTTTCCAAAGTACGAAACCCGTCATGTGCTTTGTTGTACTTTGGACAAATCAGATGTTTTCTTATTTAATTATTAATTTAGTTTAATTTTTAGGAGAGGACTTCCCTATATAAAATTTCTAGATCCGCCACTGAATCAACTTATAAGTGACCAAATCCTTTGTTATACACCGGTTGACATTGGAGCATTGTGATTGTGAGTCCTTACCCTCAACCAAGATGTCAGTGGTTCCAAAACTTTTGTTAAACACCAAGTTGTCCTTGGTCATTGTAACAGTGACTTCTTACATTAACTAGCGGTCAATGGTTCCAAAATGTTTGTTATACAGCAGGTTGTTGCGAGCCATTGCGATTGTTAGTTATGATGCTCAAACGAGTGGTCAATGGTTTCAAAAAACGTTTGTTATACTCCAAGTTGTCATTGAACATTGTGATTGCTATGCAGTCACCGGAGTGGTTATAGTGGTTACAGAGCGTTTGGCATACCCCGAGTTGCCATTCTTGTTATACACTCAACCAAGTTGTCATTTATCACGTTTGGTCCGGGGTGGGTATGAATATTGAAGTACTTGCTCCGCCATATCACATTGTCATCCCACTAGTTGTAACTTGTAAGACAGGTTCGAACAACCTGTACTTATAATTGTGTCTTCCCTTCCAAGCTAACCATATTGTTGTTATCAGCTTGAAGCCTGTATTGGAACAATGATCTAAGATGTAGAAACTTTCTCCATAAACAAGACCCCACTTGAATCTCAGAAATCTCCCAAATTGTTCTGCTCTTTGGTCTATCTCTCATAGTCCATGGCCACCCACAAGAATCCACCTTCCATTATCAACATCCATATCATTCTGACTGCACAAGCAATACTCAAGTGTATAGATCTTTCGGATTAAAAAAAGGAGGGGGAGGGTCAAATTTAGATTGCTCTTCGATTTTTTTCCATAGCCAAATTCACCCTCTTCTTTAGGCATTGCTATCAACTCCCATATGACTTTTGTCTTTCCAGTAGTTTCATATTTAATTTTTTGAGAAAAATTAAGGGTAAATGTCAAGTTTGATCACTGGGTTTACTAAAACGTGACATGTTTAGTCACTGGAAAAAATTAATATCAATTTTAGTCATGCCATGTAAGCCAAAATGGCCCATTGTCTGATCTTGCTTCACTGTGATCCAAAAATGAAGTACCAACTTTGCAAAGGGCAAGTATGAGCTTGTGATATTGCATGAATTAACTAAGAGTGGATCTTTCAGTTACATCTTACCACATTGTTCATAATCTTACAGTTCTTGACCTCCTTTCTAACAATTCCTCCTCAACTGACTAGATACGAGATGAACTTCGCAAGGAGACCTTGCAGCTTGCAAGTGAGTGGCCTGGATGTCTAACAAGAATTCTCTTCTGACTTCCTAATGAACCAGGGGAATGCTAATAATGTCCATTCATTGATGATCGGGAGAAAATTTGGACAAGGAACCTCGCATTGTGGAACTAAGAAATCAAGTGAGACTAGACTCAATTCTCTAATTATGTTTCCTTCTTTCCGGCGTGAGCAGCGGGGAGCAGTTCTGGTGCGGCGGGTTTGGGCCTTGGGGTTGGGGGGAGAGATTGTTGGCTAGGGTTAACGTTAGAATTGATTAGGGGTAGATGTGTCAATTTAGTGTGGTTTAGGGCGATGTTTTTTGAATTTTTGGGCGACGAATAGTTAGCGATTTTACATATTTGCGGTTCTTGACTTCTTGTGCAACTTTGGGACCCTTTCGCTTTTCATTTTTAATAAAATTTTAATGGTTTGCATGGAAAAAAACTTGTCAACATTTATTCTATGTAATACGGTGTCATAATGCGAACTTATTCATTAAAAGGGACTTGAGAGTCGTGCATGCACAATTACATAGACATCAACACACCGTCATCTAGGGCTGGGCATGCGGGCGGATCATCCGCGGGTTTGGGCCGACCCACCTGCATTTGACCCGAATTTCGTTAAGTGGGTGGGTCTGTGGGTGGGTGACGGGTTGCGCTGGGAGCCATCCGCCGGGTGGTGGGTGGGTTGTGGGTGAGTGTGCGGGTGACCCGCTCAACCCAACAGCAAAAAGATCAAAGTCGTTGGCGCTAGAGAGAGGAGAGTGGAGACGTTAGATATAAACTCGGACTGCTCCTGGAGTTTGAACCTCAAAGCCAACCTTCCAAATAGAGATCCCCTCTTCTTCCATTTACTTTTTCCTCTAATTCTTGTGCCTAGATCACCGCTCTTTCCTTTGTTGAATTATTTTCTTTAGTTCCTTGCACCTAATAATCGTCTCAATCTGTAGAAAACTCTTTCATAATAGAATTTCTATCCAATTTAAGAACTAATTCGACATTTTTCCCTATTTCAACTTCTTGTTCCCCTCGATGATTCTCTTCACCTATTATCATGTCAAGTTGACTCCTTTATATATTATATACATTGTGATGTGGGTGAACCAACAAACCCACCCGCATCATCCACCATCCGCCCGACCCAACCCGAAACTAAATGTGGGTGGGTGGTGGGTTAAAAATTATCAATCCGTTTAAGCGCGGGTGGGTGCATTTTATGGTCAAAATCCACCCGACCCACCCAATGCCCACCCCTACCGTCATCTACCTTCTTCATTCTGAATCATAAAAAAGAAAACTTTTTTCTTCTTCTTTTTGATAAGAAATATGAAATCGTCGGAACCAGAAGACATAAAGACAACACCAAATTGAAGCGAAAAAAGAAAGTAGCAGAAAACCACATCAACTAATTAGTCCAACAATTAATCATCAAGAGAAAGCCCAGTTCCCTTCAACTTAGACTGTGTGAGCTGGTCAATACGCTGCGCCATCTATGGAGTCAAGTAATTCTCCCAATCTCGTACGGTTCCTCTCCTAAAGAAGGTGGAATTGAGCACATGGTTCAACTCCCCGACACCACTCTTGTTAACCTCCAGCTCTTTCAACCTATCCAAGCTGCTCCGCCACAACACTTTCTCCACCTCTTCATCTCCGTCGAGAGAAAATGGCTTCTCGAGAAACGAAGCCAGCTTCCTGACCTGCTCCTTCGGCTCTCTGCAGAGCTCCTCGTACTTGAGAAACAACACATCCTGAGGCCGCCTCCTGCTCTCCTCCCAATATCCCACCACATGCTCGTAAAAGGGCCCGAAAGGCAGGACCCCGCTGCAGAAGCTCTCCACATCTCCCTCCAGTGGGAACTGCTCGTAGCCCGGTCCGCTCTTTAGCGCTTGTTGTAGAAATGCCACATCGACACCACCGTGTCCTTCGGGTTCCGAGCCAGGTACACGATCCTGCACCCGGACTCCCTCACCGCCTCCGGCAGGTAACTGTAAGGCAGGTGACTGTGGAGCAGCCGGCCGGTGGGAGGGGAACTCAGCAGGATTTCTTGGACTCGTTTTTCGAGGAACGTGTTCTCCAGAGTGGGGACCACTTCGTGGGGGTTCTTCTTCGCCAGAAGGTCTTCTTCTGCTTCTCTGTGGAGGATGCTGTAGCAGAGAGCCTTAAGCCACTGTTGACACCTAAAATTAATTTGGCCTGAATTAAATGCCGCATTAATTAGTCTCGGCATTTAATTCGATACCGCGGGTAAAAAACGGTGTCGTTTGGAGTCGAGCGGTGTCGCGGAGAGTTAAAACGGTACCGCGAAACAGAAAAACGGTACTGCGAAACAGAAAACGGTACCGCAAGGAAGCTCAGCGGTACCGCGACACAGAAAACGACACCGCCGGAAAACAAGATGGGGCCGCGCGTTTTGGTATTGGTGTTGGAGAAGGAGTTTTTATTATTATTTTTTTTTATTCCTTGTCAGAAGGGGAGAAGCGGTACCGCATGGAGACAAGCGGCATCGCGGAGAATTAAAACGGTACCGCGGATTTAAAAACGGTACCGCGAGTAAGCCCAACGGTACCGCTGTGCTAGCAAACGACAGTGTTTAAAATATTTAAACAATGTCGTGAGGAAAAGCAAATGGAGCCGTTTTGGCGCTAATGATGTCGTTGGTCAACACACGAGTTTGACTAGTGATGACCGGATTAATTAATTAATATTTTAAGGATTGGTTTAGACGGTGTCGTTTAGTCGAAAACGACATCATGGGAGATATCAACACCGCCGCGGTACTGAAACGATGTTGTTTAATAGAAAACAACGTCGCAGTGGCGAAAGTTTTGTGGATTTTGGCTCGGTGTCGTTTTGGCCAAGTTTCCGCGTGTCCAAGCGGTTTCGCACTCGTGAGAGTTACGCAACAAGGAGGAAGTTACCTGCACGGTTGACAGGAATGAAGACGTGAGAGACAAATGCGCGAAGGCAGTTACTACGACGAGGAGAAGCGCGAAGTATAAAGATTTGGAAGAGAGAGAAGCCGGGAGGGCAAAATCAAATGACAACTGCACCATAGCAGAATCTATCTTTTTCTCTCTAGTTCGTAGAACT